GTGTCGATAAGCTCGAACCAATACCTAATACTGACCGGATTTGCTTTGTCTTCCTCCGAGAGCATAAAGTCTGCAATTATCACAGTAAATAATCAAATTTTGGACAGCGAAATATTGCAATAAGACACGTACAAATGAAGTCTTCGTAGCTCATTTTCTTCTTTTCCTCGGACGTCAGCGTCTGGACGCGAGCAAATGGACGCCGGCCGCGTTCGAAGATACGATCCACAATGATTCGTGTAAGCGCGTGGCCACCATAGCGAACAAGGTCGTCGGGACTGAGAAGAAAGTCGTGGTCCGTGTCCAGCTCCCAAAATTTGCAGTACAGCACGTAGAAATGTTCATACGAGAAGTACGAGTTCACCTGGAAGCGGCACAGTGAGTCAGCCAAATACATATAGCTTTCGAATTGATGCTAACGCACCTTGTTGATGTCTTCTTCCTCGTCCACAGTGTTAAACGCGCTTATGAGATTACTGCGTCTCAGCTTCCGCAACGTAATTCGACCGCTACTGTCTCTATCGACGGAATAAAATATCCGTACAACCACAGTCAAGGCTTCAGACAACAAGCTGTTAGTCCCATATTTTCCAATATCTCCATTCCATCCCATTTCCTACCATATTTCTCCTGAAACTCGGGAGTACCCCCAAGGAACTCTAGACCAGGATGATATTTCAGCAGTTCTGTAGGCAGCATCAAACCACAATAAGTAACTTAAACATTGCACCCTCCAAGGCTTCAGCGTTGCACCTTACCATGCAAAAATGGCGCGAAGTCGTCTCGCTCTATGAAGTCGTTCTTCGGTTGTTTCACCTGGTAACAAAACGCAGCAACACTCGTCAGTTCCTGAATAGACAATAAAACAACGAATGAGGCCACGTACTACTCTAAAGAATCGCTCCACGCTGTCACATGGAGCCATCTCGCGCATCCAGTAGCTCTGGAACATATCCTTCGTAATACGTTGGGGTGTCATGCCGCCATCAGCACTCGTGGGGCTAGAAGAGTCCTCCGCTACTGGACTGGACGGTGGCTTTGGTGTTGTCTCTCCCGCTGCTCCACAAGTCGCGAGGATGCGTCTAAAAAACGGCGCGTTGAAAAACGACGGGAAGCCGCACAGATCCTTGGTAATGGCCACGAAATCCTCCACCTTCATGCCCTCCGGAAACTCACGGAAACGCGCCTCGATGTCCGATGCCTTGCGAGCCATCGCGTCTGTAGACAAACCACGCAACCGGCCACGTCGGCCTTCGCCAGGCGTGTAAAACCTGGGGATCTGAACCTGTTTCGGGGCCTCCTCGGCCATGGGGTGGTCTGGTTCAGCTGCTGCAGGCTCCTCGGCCTTGGCAGCTTCCTCCACCGTCTGCGGTTCCTGTTCCCCCTCCATATTCTCGTCCGTATCGGCTTCTACAGGTGTTGTAGGTTCCTCCTGGTTCTCTGCTGGGGTTTCCTGTGCACTCGCTCCATCGTTATCATTAGTAGGCTCACTGTCTCCAGCAGTCATGTCTACGTCGTCCGACGACGCAGCAGCTTCTGTTTCCTCGGTCTTTGGTGCTTCAGTCTCCACTGCAACGGCAGCAACTGCGGCTGCAGCATTGTGGAGCTCATCTCCGAAGAGACTGACCAGGTGCTGGTGTCGTCTGCGAGCGCTGGGGCTGCCGGCTGAGCCGGGACTGAGCATGCCGAACTGGTAATTAGGCGGCCGCTTGGGGCTACGCGAGGGCGAGTCAGCTCCACTGCCGACAGTGCTGACTGTAGTTAGCAATGCGTCCAGGTTAAGCTCCTTGCCCTGACGTAGATCGGCCACCATGTTCTGGATCATTTCCTTCGTGCCATCCACGTTAAGCCACTGCCGGAAAAGCTCCTCCATCTTCATGCGGCCTGCAGGGCACAGATGCGCACTCTCGATCTCCGACAATCGCAAGGACTCGGGGCCTGTGCCACTCGAGCTTGTGGGAGACGCCATAGATGCGTCCGATGTCTCCACTTCGACAGTCATTTATTCGTCTCACAAAAGGTCACGCGTACAACCGCCGAT